AAAACATGAATTTTCTAAAGATTTCACAACAAAAATGGGTTTTTTCAACAGTTATTTTATAATTTTTTATCCGAAAAAAATGGTACTTGATTCTTGATTAAAATTTGAATAAGAATAAGAATAAGAAAAAAATTAAATTTTTTAGAGGTTTTACATCAAATGTAAATATCAGAAAAAAATGGTACTTATGCAAGAATTGAAAAAAAAACTGAGTTTTCTACAGGTTTCACATCAAAAATAGATTTTTTGATTCAGATTTGAACAAAGTAAGAAAATGGTACTTTCTACGTTTAGCAATTTTTTTGATTAAGATTTGGAACAGTTTTAAATTTGGAAGAACGATACAAAAATTGAATTTTCTAGAGCTTTCACACCAAATATAGTTTTTTCAGCAGTTACTTCATACGTTCTGAAAAAAAAATGTACTACCACATTCAGTGATTTATATTTTGCAAGAATAAGAAAAAAACTGAACTTTTTACATGATAGAAGTTTTTTTAGCAATTATTTCATTTGGAGAAAAAGGCTACTTTCCTTAGATTTTTTCCAAATAATTTGAAATTTTCTGGTAACGCCACTGCCCAAACTCCCTTTTCGACCTTTCTAACCCTTTTCCCCCAGAATTATCCCTCATCCGCAACGTCAAAGAGGAGTTCCTCTCCCACGAAATCCAAGACCTGAAACTCGAGGAGCAAGACAACGACGTTGAGGGCGAAGAATGGAGCATAATTCGCGTCCTTAAAGACAAATCATTATTACTGCCACTTCTTCTAGTCTGTAGTCTTCAAGCAGGACAGCAATTCAGCGGAATCAACGCCGTAGGTGGCCCCACCTCCCCCACACCCACTTATCCTCATTTTCAGGTTTTCTACTACTCGGTTTCAATCTTCCAAAAAGCGGGACTTTCGCTGAAAAACAGCCAACTTGCGACTATTGCAGCTGGATGTTGCAACCTTTTAATGGCGATTATCTCGATCCCTGTGATGGCAAAATTCAATCGCAGAAGCACCCTCCAACTCAGTCTAGTGACCACGGCTTTTTTCCTCATCGTCCTCGGACTCGCCATCACTTTTATTGTGAGTTTTTTCAGGATAAATTAGACAAAAATCGGTGGAAAAGAATCCTAGAGAGTTAAACGCTTTCTTTATTCTTTTGTAGACATATTTCAAAAGTCCCCGAAGGTTGGGTGGAGCTCGAGGAAGGAGAGGGGGCTAAAGGTGTCTTTTTTTGTTTTTTTGCTTATATCTCGGAAACTATCACTCCTATCGGTTTTTGCCTGCTTACCAAAATTAAAGCTTATAAAATTTGCTACAAAAATGGTCCTTTGCATTTTTGTTGTAGGACTAACTGTAAGCGAGTTATAGGGCTGACAAAAAACATCATTTAAAAAAATGTGCTTTATCCGCATTTAAAACAGAATTAATCTTGTGATTTGAAGAAAACTGAAAGCAAATTGAATTTATTGGGTGCAACACTTCATTAGAGAGTCTAATGAGAAAAAGCTAAATTTTCTTCAGGTTCTACATTATTTCATAATTTTTTATCTGAAAAAAATGGTACTTTTCTCGTTTAGTTTTGGAATAGTTTTAAATTTTACAAAAATTGAAAAAAAATTTTTCTAGATGTTTCAAAAATTGATTTATTCAACAGTTATTTCATAACATTTTACCTGAAAAAAGGATGGTTCTTTACACGTTTTGTAATTTTTTGATTAAGATTTAGAACATTTTTCTATTTTGCAAGAGCAAGAAAAAAGGTTCACATCCAAAATAGATGTTTTGAACAATTATTTCATAATTTTTTATCTGAGGAAAAAAATGCTACTTTCCACGTTTTATAATTTTTTTGATTAAAATTTGAAACAATTTATATTTTCTAAAAGTAAGAAAAACCGTTTCAAAAGTTTTACATTAAAAATGGGTGTTTTCAACAGATGTTTGATAATTTTTTATCTGAAAAAGATGGTACTTTCTATGTTTAGCGATTTTTTGATTACAGTTTTCGAACTGTTTTATGTTTTGCAAGAATTGTAAAAAAGCTAAATTTTCTTTAGGTTCTAATTATTTGATAATTTTTTATCTGAAAAAATGGTACTTTTCTCGTTTAGTTTTGGAATAGTTTTATATTTTGCAAAAATTGAAAAAATTTTTTTTAGATGTTTCACTTCAAAAATAGATTTATTCAACAGTTATTTCATAACTTTTTACCTGAAAAAAGGATGGTATTTACACGTTTTGTATTTTTTTTTTTTTTGATTTACAATATTCTTCTATTTTGCAAGAGTAAGAAAAAACTTTAAAAGGGTCTCACATCAAAAATAGATGTTTTCAACAATTGTTTCATAATTTTTTATATGAGAAAAAATGGTACTTTTTTTTGATTTAAATGTGGATCAATTTTTTATTTTTCAAAAGTAAGAAAAAACTTTCCAAAAGTTTTACATCAAAAATAGGGCTATGTTTATGAGTAAATATTAAATGCTGATTTTCATAAAGTGTCGTCTCAGTGCAATTTTGCACTCTCAAAATTCGAAATTTCATGTTTCTAATTTTGTTTTTAAGCGTTAAACTTTATTTTATTTCGTTAAAATATGAAAAGTGCATTTCTACACTTTCTAAGGATGACATTTTCTAAATTTTATGTTACCGTTTTATTCACTTAAAAACTAATTTTCGAAAAATCTGATTTTAGTGCCCCTTTACACCTCTAAAAAATCTTATGTTTATATCTTTGTTTAAACATTTACACCCCATTTAACCCCCTTACAGATTGATTCTCTCTTTCATCCAAAATTTTTATTTATATCTCCGTTTAAATGTGTAATTTATTTAAAAAAAAAAACTGGTAGCTTACTCCAAAAAAATTCTTGAATTCTTGTAAGTCAAACATTTTTTTAACAAAAAAGTGTGAGGTTTACAAAAAAAATTTGCAAAGCAACAATTCTTGTAACAAACTCGTTGTCTAAAAAAATTGTTGTAGGTTTCCATTAAAAAAAAAGCTACTATGTTTATCTCGTAAGTATAAACAAATAATTAATATTCAAAAAATTTTTGTATGGCATTTTTATAGCCATTGCTCACCTATAAATTTATTTTCCAAAAAATTTGATAGTTTCGCTAGAATAACATCGTTTCCAGACTTTTAGAACGCCCTGTATGTTTACCCAAGTGTAAAGAAAGCCTTTAAAAAAATTTCAACTCTCTAGGATTTTTTTCCACCGATTTATCTAATTTGACAAAACCCATCTGAAAGGGATTTTTCAGGCGCACTTCTCCTGGATGCCCTATTTGAGCATCGTGGGGGTTTTGGGCTTTGTGGTGTGCTACGGGATCGCCCTTGGACCCATCCCTTATTTCATTGGGTCCGAGTTGTTCGAGGTTGGGCCTCGGCCCAGCGCTATGGCCCTTGGGAGTATGGCGAATTGGGGCGGGAATTTCGTGGTGGGGTTGGGGTTTCAGGCCATGTTGAGGTTTCTCGGCGCCGCTTCGTTCTTTATTTTTGCCCTAATTGTGGTGGTTTTGTTCTTTTTTGTCAGGTAATTGATTGGTGGAGAGTGTGGAGGGTGTGATTTGATTGGTGCAGGTTTTATTTGCCCGAGACGAGGGGACGAGATCCGGTCCAGATTGCTGCTTTGTGCAAAAGGGGGTTCTCGTCGAGGCCTTTGGAGTCGCCGGTGGATTCGGCGAGTACTGTGGATACGTTTTCGGTGAATGATGGAAAAGAGGGGGCTTGAAAGGGGAGAAATTGGAGTCTTGTCTTCCATTTTAATAAATTTAAAAAAAAAAATGGAGAGTTTTTTTTACTAAACTTGAAAAAAAATAGTTGAAATTTGCAAAAAAATTAATTACTGTTTCAAAATACATTTCTAGAGGTCTTAAGGACTCAAATAAATGCATAAAACGACATTGGGTCAAGTTTCAAAAATTTTGAATTTTTTGAGTTTTTGAA